GAAATGCTTGCTATTGTTGAAGCTATTAAGGACTAGTACTAGTACTTGTTAGGAGTGTTGATCTCAAGTACTGGTTGAGGTAGAAGAGGTCAGTTGAGTCTACAAGGTACAGACACTGAGAGGGGTCAAGAGTGAGAAGGAATAGGTAGATCTGAGCAGAATGTATGAGTTCCAAAGGTGATGATTAACAAGATGAGAGTAGTGCAGAACAATGAAGCCACACTTCAGAACAAGACAATATGAGACAAGACAAGGCAAGATGGAACATTAACTGAGGAGACTGTCAAACTACACACTAAGAGTTGTAGTAGAGAGTAACTTGATTGCTGGAAAGTACAAATTACATGAGGGTATTTATAGAAATTATGAGTCCTTTGTAGCTACTAGTCCTTTGTGAACAAATCCACTACTGTCTCCTTTGTATCAACCCATCCAGGACTCTGGATCCAAGTCCCCTTTGTATTGATTGACCAGCTGTCTGAAGGCTCAGAGTCTTGCCTTTGTGAATCAGAACTAGAGTCTGGAACCCAACTAGTCTGAGTTGAGCAACCAAGACTATTGTGTAGGTAATGATAATGTAATTGAAGGATTGCTGACATGAGGATAATGTGACTTTGATACAACTGAGCCCTTCCAATCAGAACATATCAGAACATACATGTTGTGTGAGTGTGACATCTCCCAGGTGTTTTAGAATGTGACTGTCCCCAGTCACACCTAAGGGTGTAAATTTGCAAACTGGCACACTTCATGTTTTAATCTTCTGCTTCTTTTTGAGTTTGTCCTTCTTCTTCAACTATGTCATTGTTGTAAGAAGTGAATCAGGTCTACAACTGAGTACAGGCCCTTGCCTAAAGGATGCAGGAGTTGCTACAGTGTGCAAGGATGGTGGATTGGCTATTGGTGGCAACAGAGTGGAGGGTAGAACTGGTACAGTTGCAGGTAAGTTCTTGGACATTACATTGTCTCTGAGTCTTCTGACAAGACAGTACAGTCAGATTAGGATGCACTCACTGTATCAAGTGTGTAGGCCAGCTTTGTGCTTGCTACACTGTAGCAGCTCATGCTTTAACTCAAAACATAGGTGTTGCAAATTAATACAGAGTACAGTAACTGTAAGGATGCTCTGATTAGCAAACCACTTCAAGGGTATAAAGATACTATGACTGTTGACAAACCAAGCATTACTCCTCTGACAAAGCAGGTAGTAGAGGTTGTAGTTCTGAGACTGTCCAATGTAGTTAGGTGCACTGTCTAGGATGCTGAGACAGGTGCTCCTATGGGTGAACCAGACATTCTACCAGGTTCTGAGCTAGAGTATGAGTTGTCCATGTACTGAGTACACAAGCAGGATCAAATGCTAGATAACAAGAGGTTGGACACACTCCTTTGTGAGTAGTAAGGAGTGCAACCAGGCTGTCAGAATGATGAGGAGAACAACTCAAGCAGTATGTAGTCCCTTCTTTACTTATTAATGATTTGACTGACTACTACTAGTCACTTGATCTAGATGCAGATTACATATATTTGGGCAGGAGGTGTTCTGTGTTGTATATATCAGACTTCTATGAGACAGACTGGGTAGTGGAGGAGGTTGAAAACAGGCAGGTTGAGTTGCAGTTCCAGAACAGTTCTCTAGTGCCAGAGTCAGTGCCAGACAGTAGCCTGACACCTTTGACAAGTCAGAGGTGTAGTAGCTGTGTCTGTCAGCATGTAGTGTGTATTCAAGAGCATGGTGAGACAATTGTATGCTTAGCATACAAGAAGAGTAAGATCTGTTACTCTCTTGCAAAGACTGGTAAGGCAGTAAGGGATGTACAGTTGAGGCAGGGGAGGACAATAGTGACAAACCCATACCCTGTGGCTAGGCCATCAAGAGTGTGTCTGGAGGATCTGGGTAAGTTGTTCTAAGATTAATACTGATAGCTTTTGAAGACAACATTCTTCTAGGTGAACTCTCAAAACACTTGTTGGACAACAGTGAGTTCTGAGAGGATCTGGAGCTCAAACACAAGCTTTGTGTCCTTAGAAGGCAGGTGGCTACCTATTGTACAATGTTGGATACAATAATACAGGATGTGGAGCAGCTATAGGCTAGGATAGGTGTGAAGGCAAGGTGTTAGAAGGATGGACAGAAGGATGGACAGAATTAGACATTCTGTTCAGAACAACTGAACCAGTGTAGGTGAGACAGTCAATGTAAAAGCTGCCTGTAGAAGCAGCCAAATATAATCCCCCTCTATAGTTTTGAATAGTATTTTCTGTATGTTCATAGTAATGTATGATGTTACTAAAGCATGAGTGTGATAATTGTAAGGTAATAAGAGTGACTCAGCATTGATAGGTAAACAACAGAGGCAAGACCATATGCATACTGAAAGTAAGGCAAACTAACAGAATGAGAACAGAACAAGTATGGAACAAAACCGAAAAAGAAACAGAACAAAAACAGAACCAAAATAGAACAAGAACAGTGTGAGAACAGAACAAGAACAGAACAGAACAGAACAGAACAGAACAAAGCTCTCAGTACATGACTTTGAGGCTGTTGTGACCAAAGAAATGCAAAAGTGGTCTAAGGGCTGCTGGACAAAAACCTGTGTACAAAAAACCCAGTGGGAAAAAATGTACTACAGGGAAAACCATACAGGTTCAAAGTGTAAGTCTAACTATAATCTACAATTAGTTAAAAGCAAAATTAAAGAAAAACAGAAGATAGAGCAGAACAGGATTAGAATGTTGTCTAGAATATTATAAGGGGTTAATAGAAAAAGGCAAATTCAAGAAAGTAAGGAACACATAGGTCTATAGTGGTTGGCCACAATTGGCCTTTAGTCAGAGTCAGAGTCCTTGGAAGGCTTGTCTGACAGTAGCAGGTTGTTAGTGTTGTTGATTTCATTAGCTGGACCAAAGTTTTCAACAAGATGTGTAACTAGAATTGAGAGTGTAGTGTAGGCAAAGTACAGAACCAAGCAGAACACTGTAATGTGAAGACAGGAGACTGATCCATCAAGTTCAGCTACAATATAGGATCCTCCTTGTGTATGACAGACTACTATGTATGGTCTGAGATAGTATAGCTTGGCTTTTTGTCCAAGATCCATTTGTGATTTGGAGTTGTGTATGAGGACTAGTTGACTGGGTTCAAAGTTAAAATCTTTGATCAAATGTTTGTATGTTTCTTCAAATTGTTGGAGTGAAGCAATCTGGTCTGCATGAACACATTCTGTGATAGCTTGAAGGTTGGCCAGACATTTCTGTAGTTGACATGCTTGAGTTATAATGAGTTCTGTTGTTGTTATGAGTTTGTCTGGTACTGGAGCAAGATACATTACTTCTGTAATATTGAATGAGAGAAGTGGTTCAACACTATGGACAATAAAATAAGGGGACATGCCAGTTGTGTAACAGATCATAATCTGATCTGACCAAAAGACAGAATGTGTATGTTCATACTATCATAGTTCATTCCCTTCAGCAGCCTTTATAAGGGCTTCCTGTATGTTGAAGTGGCAGTGTTTAATAATACTATTAGCTTGAGAGTTGTATACACTAATACAGATGTGATTAATGTGGTATCAGTTGTGAAGCCAATCTAGTACAGTGACAAACAGGGTTCTGTTGTTAGTAACAAGTTCTGGGCACACACTAAATCAACAGAGAATATCTTCAAAAATGAATTGTCTGATACTTTGTCTGGTTTTAGAACAGAGTAAGCAGAACTCAGGGTAGCTGGAGAGTGTACATTGAGTATGAACAATGTATCAGAACCCTCCTGCTTTCAGCATGAACTTAGTGTTGATGTGTACCTTAGCAAATAACAGGGCAATCTTTAGAATGCTGGGAGGGATCAGGATTTGAGTTGTCTGACAGAGTTAGCATTTGTGGTAGGTGTGGATGTAGTACTTAATGTCAGGTCTGAGGCTAGGCCACCAGAAGCAGTCAAGAAGTCTAGCCTAGACAGAGTAGACTCCTTTATGTCTGAGATTGTCATACACAGTCTTGACAAGATTCTATTGTTGGTTGGGTTCTATTACAAGTTGGTGGTTACTGTTCTGGGTTTTCTACCACAGTTGGCCAGTCTTGACAAAGAAAGTGGTTGCATAGTGAACAAAGGTGGTGAATTTGTGATTTTCCATCCTAGGCAGTTGGAGGCATGTTTCCAGGAAGGTCTTGACTTGTCTGAGACAATATTCTCTAGCACATGTATGATCAGTTGTCAGAAATGTCTTGGAAGGTTTGGTATTGTTTGGAACAGTGAACACAGAACTGTAACAGAAAGTATAAGCTTGGTCAATCCATTCCTCAAAGTCATCTTCTTCTTCTGGGTCGGCTTCAGCACACAGATGTTGAGACAGTCTGTTAGTACAAGCAAACTGTAGGGCTGGAATGTGTTGGAACTTGAAGTTGAACAGTAGGATTCTGGCAATCTATCTGTTGATTGTGGCATTTGGCTGTAAGTCTGGGTTATTTATCATACCCTTAACATAGACAGTATCCATTTCCACTACTAACTTCCTTACTCTGATAAGGTGAATTTGTAGGGCACAGAGTGTGCAGAACAATCTGAAGAGTTCAATCTTAGCTTGGGAGTATCAGGATTGTGCTTTGTTCCAGTTAATTGATCCAAATCAGTTGATTCAACAACAACTGTCAAGGTGTTCTTGTCTAAGATAGAATCCTACACCAATAATAGATGAGTCCATAGTAACAATAACCTCCATGTCTGACTCATAGTCAATGGCACATAAGGCAGGGCTATTGATAACAGTGTCTTTGAGTTTGTCCATCACTACCATGTGTTCTGAACAGAACTCAAACAGAACATTGTGCTTAGTCAAATGTGTGAGTGGTCTAGTAAGCTGAGCAAAATTTCGAATAAACATGTGGAGGACACCTACAGTTCTAAGGAATCCTCTAACTTCAGAGACAGATTGACATGTAGGCTAGTTACAGATTTTCTGGACTTTTGAATCATCTGGCTCCCTTCTAGCATAGGTACACTTATGACCTAAGACAGTTGTGTACAGTTAGAACACACACAGCTTTAGACTGGAGAACGTTCCATGGACTGCTTTAACTTGCTGTATGATACAGTTTAGGTTGTGAGTGTGTTCCTATACAAATTGTTGGATACTAGGGTTTCCAGGAACAGTTTCGTATGTTCTGTCTGGAAGTTTGTATCTTGTAGTTCTGCCTTTGACATAGATGTTATCAGTGTAGGGTTGTACTGTATTAGGAATTTTGTCCTGTAAAATAAAAGTAATATCACTATGTATAATTTGAAAAGAATTAGTATAACTCATCAGAATAACAGTAAGTCAGAACGTTCTGAGTAGTGTCTGAAACGTTGTAAGATTGTGAGAGCATTCATTGAGAGAGTGTTGGTCAAAGGTAACAAAGAGATCTAGTACAGAGTAAATGGCCCTTCTGGAGAAGGATTCAACAACCTGTTCAATCATTAGAGGTATGGATGAGTCTCAGATTGAAACTCAGTTGAGTTCCTGGAGGTTGTGGACTAGGTGTAGAGACTTTCTGTCTTTCTTTACTATAGTAAACTATCAGGAACAGTAAGATGAGTTTGACAGCTTGTAAACTCTAGTAGCAATTTTGTCTTTGAGAATTTTCACAACTGTGTCAAGGTTTCCCTGTAGAATCTGGATGTTCCTTTGTACCCATGGAATATGTAGAACAGTTGGAATCAAAATCAGATCAAAGTATTCTGGGTCCAGGGCACCTTTCTTGAGCTTGTTCCAGGCAAAGGTGTCCTCATACATTGAAATCAGGTTAATCAAAAGCTGGTGCTCTTCTGGCCAGAGGAAGTTGTATGGATCAATGTTAAGAGCTTCCATGTGTTCTTGTGTGAAACAGTGTGTTGGGACAAACAGCTTAGGGTGCAGTAGTAGTTCTAGCATGTTCTTTGACAGATCAGAATGCTTCTGTCAAACAATCCAAAACTCTTCTAGGAGAGTTCTAGCAACTGGTCTAACCTTCTTTACTACCTTCTTGTATACAAATACGTTTTCTCTAGGGCTGTCAGGCATGTATAGAACAAAGGGGTCTAATCCTGGGGCAGCTGACAGGGTGACTGGACAACTAAGGAGTGGATTGACTATGGTAGAGACTAGTACATGTCTATTGTAGGATGGTGTGTGTGTGTCAGGAATTATAGCTTCAGTAGTATCAGAACTTAAATCAGAACACTGTTTGTCCTAAACACTAAGGGGCTGATTAACTAATATAAGGGTTGAGAGATTAGTGATTACTACAAATCCTTGTTTGTTGTGTTTCTACAGAACAGTTTGTGTTCTAGTCATAACTTAGCACTTCTGTTGACAATCTGAGGGATCTGATAGTGTTATGGATTAGTTGCTATTAATGAAGTCCTTCATTTTGCATTCTGTGATAGTAAAGAATGGTCAGCCTAGGAGTGCCTCAAACAGGGCTTGACAAACAACTTGAGCTTGGAGGGCAATGTTGACTCTAGCAATATTGATCTTTACATTCTCAACAGTACTGAGTGTTAGTGCTTGTCTGGAGTTAGTAGTTTCAAGCATAATTGTAAGATTGGAACACAGATGGATTCTGAGACGTTTCTATACATCCTTGTGAATGATACAGAGTGTTGCTCCTTGGTCTAGAATACAGTGGATTTCTTCAGTATCTTTGAAGATGGCTTTAACTGTATGTAACAGTATAGCCTGTTCTGTAACCAACTCTAGGCTCTATGTGTACTGTGAGACTTAAGCTATGATTGCATCTTTGGAAGTTGTTGGTTCTGAGGGTTCTGTCAAGACAAGGTGTGTAGCAGTGTTTGGAACTCACCTAGTGGATGACAGTTCCTTGACTTGCTTTCAGACATTAGGTGTAATTGACAACAGCTCCTTCAGGGTGAGGCTGATGCTAGAGTCTAGAACACAAGAGACTATCTGTTAGACAATGACAGAGTCTTCAATAGGAGAGAGATTACAGTACTAATGTGGTTCTAGTAGTGGTCTGACAGTAGGCTTGTCAGCATACTTTAATCTGTCATACTTCAGGGCCTGGCTTACTTTGGCAGGTAGTGTAGGCTTTGGTTCCAGCTTAGGTTCCTTGTCCTTCTTCTTTAGAACACTTGTTGTTCCATACCTTAGGACCTCTACTCTGTCAAACTTGAGCTTCTTACTAGTAGCAACTTTCTTCTTTACCTCTCTAAGTAAGACTTCAAGTCTTTCAACCTTGTATTCTACTTTTAAGACTTCTTCAATATATGTGGCTGGAACAGTAAACAATGTTTAGGATACTAGTGCTGGCTTTGCAATTTTGAGGAGGGACACTATATGTAGTAGTGTGTCCTGTATGTCTCAGGAGACTTGGGCACACTTTCTAGGGTTGGTTGTGTGATACTGGTTGAAACAATCCATGAGTAGTTAGCCTTAGATTGTTGACAGAACAAACAATCTGTTAGGGAGAACAACCTTTCCAGATGTGTTCTGGATGCACTTTCTGTTGCAAATGAACTTATTAACCTTTGGACACAAGCAAATGAAGTGTCTGTCTTCTCTGTAGAAGGAGCAGTTTGTGTTGTAGGGCAGCCCTACAGAATGAGCAGATTGTACAGATTGTACAGATTGCATACCTGTGTTTCCTACAAACAGGGAACTGGTCTTACATTCAAACAAGTCTAACTTGCTTTAGAATGAGTAGAGCAAATTAAGGATGGTGACTATGTTTACATCTTCTTTCTTTATTAGAATGGTTCTGGAACTTGTTGTTCCAGTCACATTGGCTGTCTTTCCCAAGCATTACAAAGCCATACATCCCTACATAAGTTTGGCAGCCTCAACAACTTTAGTGTATGTGTAAGCCATACAACTGTTGTGGTTAGGGTTGTGGGCTAGTAAACAGAGAGTTAGCTAATCTTTGAAGGCACTTGTGATACTGTTGAGGAATACTTTGTTCCAATCTTCTTCCATGATTTCTTTCTTTAAGACTAGGAAGCTTACTATCTTCTAGAATTTGTACTGGTACTCTACAAACTCCTCTCAGTTCTGGATTCTGGTGACAGCCTATTGTTGGACCAGGATACAGAGGTCATTCTTTGTATAGTAGTAATTACAGTTGAGGGACAGGTATAATCTGAGAATTGCTACTTGAGCAGCTTGCTAATCTGAGGCACCATTTGTAGCTTTAGGTATTGAGGCCTAGATCTTAGAATCAGATTGGTTAGCATAATATTTTACTCTCTAGATAAACTGTTGATTGGAAAGTTGGAACTCATCTCCAATCATTTCTACTTCTTTAAGGAACCAAGGCAGGTCCTGTATGTTGGTTCTGTCATAACAGGGAGCAT